TTGGTTTTTTTTGTTTATTTATGCTTATAAGTGAATGAATTTTTCTTACCATTGTCTGTTCTTCGCACCAGGACCCACACGCGCGCAGTGAACACACTGTTTAGCTCGTCCGGACGCCCCACTCTTCTTCATTTTTTTGATTTCATTTTCGTCCAGCCCCCTTTTTGACGGTTTTTCTAAGCCTTTTTTCATTTTGGAAACACCGATGCACGCAGTTTTTACACCTCAGTCGCACATTTTCAATCTTGCCTTCCATTTTTCATTATAATCTGGATTACCCAAAACTATCGTGAACTGTGCCTTTAAGCCAGACATGTCATGCGATCTTGTGATAACCGTTGGGCTAGGGATCGAATCCCCGAGACATCAAACGAACAACAGGACGGCCACCTGCGTGATGGTTAAACTTCGTCGCGAAAGTGTGAACGAAAAGAATGCTATGCCTCGAGTGAGCACGATCCACTGGGCTACTTTGGCTCGCGACAGGGACGAAAAGACGTTACTGACGCCGATCAGCAACACTAGAGGGTATCCAAGTGATATCTTACTCCTATTAATCCGTGTCCGCCTAGGCCAACCAAACTTTCCATCCCTCCGGAGTCGGTGAATTGGTACCAGACTCGTCTGGGAGGACAAAAACACTGACTTGTACATCGGCTGCCACCGCAATTCATTATAGGCCACCACTACGACTCTGAATTTAGGTCGAGTGCGGGGGCGCATCCCTCAGACGGAATTCATTAACGCTAAAAACTTATTTTTATTTTTGTTTTATTTTGTTTTATTTTATTTATCCTTTATCCTTGATTAATACGTGACTTGGCCTCCACTACTTCAACTTATCTGATCAGTTGACATCCTAAGAAAAAAGATGAGAGGGCCTTCATCTTTTTGGATGCGCCAATGCATTTAGCTTCCATTCATAGTACCGTATGAGTATGTACTCTGCCTGAGCAGTAATTTATGAACCAGCAGGTGTAAAAATCCGTGAAGTTATTTTACCCAACCTTCGCCATTTATTATAATACTTCAACGAAAAACCTTCATTCTCTGCTTATGAAGCAACGACTGAATATCTTGCTTTTGTTGAAGAAACCTTTTGTTTTTGCAGCCAAAAGTCAAGGGTTGAGATGGATGACTTGGCAGGCTTGGGCAGGCATCGATTTGACATTTGATCCCCAAGTTGCCTGGCGATCAAATCTCGGATCTCAAATCGATTTCCGCACACTCCGTGTTAGCTCGTTCCATGGCTTTACCACATCCCTTAGAAAAAGTACAGTTACAGTAGTAAAATAATATAATTTCTACGTCTTACATTTAATGTGTAGCGTATAAATGTCAACTTCTGATTATATTCTGATTCTATATGTATCTAGTAATTAATAATCGGATGAATAATAAAAAGTAGCTCACCGGAGTTCTTCCAAGTACATGTCCATTTATTTCTGCCTGCCTCAATAACATCTGCACTTTATTTGAGTAAAAACCACACTTTCTTTTTTTTTGCTTCTCATTGTGCAGATTTGGTTGCGTTTATTCTGATCACCCTAGAAATCGGACTTACTTCTCCCCTAGTTCGGCTTCAGCACAAATTTCAGATTGAATCATAAAGTTTTGGCATTAACCAACGCGATCTTGGGTGCGTCCCTGCATGAAAGGCTTGGTTGATCTGGGTAAGTATTGATTGAACCCGCGACTATGGATGTACTGTACTGCCCCTTTTGACATAGCACCACCTCCGCCAACACATTTCAAAATATTAAAAAAAATAAATAGGTAGGTAATAATTAATAATATTCAGCGTAATTGCAATTATCAATGATAGATGCTATAATAAAATTATGTTTATTTCAACCCTTATATAAATACTACACATAGAATACGTAACATAGAATTATCTTGGAGTTCAATCGCATAAAGTTTTGATTAACTCGTAAGAGTAACTATTTTTCAGGTTTACAACATATTGCCACTCATTAAAATGATTTCAATCTTTAAAGGCACGGTTCGCGATAATTCAATGGGCGGGTATGCCAATGACGTGCCCGCCTCTCATTCGATGTCACGTCTGTCTGCCCATCGAATTATCGCGAATCGTGCATTTAATTTGCTACTTTTTTCGAAGTGTTGTAGCATTGATATACGGCGCAGCTGCTTTTTTTTCTCCATGGCTCTAGGATTTAACCCCAGTACCACCTGCCACCACCAAGTTTTCTCGTCCTTGTATAGACTAAATTTCCCACATCAAACGTGAATCCATGCGATTCTGAATGCGAGACTGCGTCCTAAACTGGGGTGGATCAAAGTTACAAGCCTTATCCTGCCTTTTTTATCAATTCCATTTCATTTATTATTATTATTGTTTTACTTTACTATTTCCACTTATATTTTTTTATTTTTCCAATTTTACTTTTCCAATTTTGGATTTCAGATTTTCTTCCTCTATCGACATAACCTGCCAATCACGAATGTCGCGGACTTCTTTTATCATTTGGCCATATGTTTCGACTTTTTCATCTCCTTTAAGACCAAAGATTCCATCGAAAGAATGGTGGCATGGGGCTTACGCCCATTGTTAATGGAGTCTGTGTGGAGAAATCCGCCTAACAATCTTGTTTGGCTGAAGAAATCATCCCTACAATTCGACCAATGCCGATTTTAAACAGGAGGATCTCTACGGAGGTCCTCTTCCAGCCTCATTACTATTTATTCACAATGTGGTACCGCCAATGGCCCGATGGGAGTGGGAGCGGGGGTATTCAGAAGCCTGGCATATTCCCACGGCTGAGACGGTGCGGTGGCGAGTGGGGCACTATCACATCACTCGAATCCCGGATCGATATCTGCTCAGGCTAACCAAATCTTTCATCCCCCCGGGGTCGCTTAATTGGTACCAGACTCGTCTGGGAGGATAAACGCCTTTACTTGTACATAGGCTGACTACCCTAAGTCATTGTATAAGCCATGTACGCCAGTATAGTTCTGAATGGAATTCGAATGCTTGGCGCATCCCAGAAACGGGAATAGATGGCGCCAAAAGATTCCATGACTTCTGAATACTACCCGGAACTAACCAGAAAAAGTATTGGCGAGTAGTTCCTGGAAAGCTTGAAGACCAATGAGCAGGTGGTTCACTTGCAGATGTAATTACAACTTTGTTGAAATGACAGGTGAGCGACTAAACGGATGCATAGTCATTATACCTTCACAAGGCCATAAATTGTAGGGATAAAAGCTACCATTCAGTATAGTAGTAAGCGTAGCTCTGAAATGTGCTGCGTAATCAGGCGGTCAAGTGGAAATGAGCTTCTATAGGGCGGAAAGAAACAATTGAATCCTCACTGCTCTCATATATGATACCTTTGGATTCACGAAATTGCTTTTGAGAAAAAGAGCTTTTCTCTTTCCTGCTATTTCCCGAGACCACAAAGTTTGTCCTGAATTGATAACTGAGATGAAAGCTGTTCGCATTATCTATGAATTACTATATCTCTGACGTAAAGTTTTGATTTTCCTCCTAATGATTGTTTTGGCTTTTGTTGACATCCTACCCACCCATATACCAATAGCAATGATCTCGGGAAGGGGGACAGCAGCATAACAATCTCTCTCTCTCTGTCCAAATCCATTCCCCTTCCCCTCCTAAATGCTTCCCATTCTTCCCCCACATTGGACCACCCTTATTGGCCATTTCAACTTGTTTACAATGTGTCGTTGTTGATCGTTTCACGAATCCCCACAAATGGAACAGACTATTAATTCCCTTCAATTTTCAAATTCATTCCAAATGTCCGAACTGTTTTAGACCCGTATTTTTCTAAATTTTACAGTTACACTAAAATAGGTCGGGAAAAAGTGTTTAGACCCGTTCGGCTCTGAACTTGTTTAGTCTGGGAGACTCTACGGGGTATACTTGTGATTTGAGAAGTATTCTTTGGGTAAATACTCATTGAGCGTCCATATACGAAAAAGTAATGTAAATAAAACAACAGCTGTAAACAACGTATCTCAGCGATTTTCAAACTCGAATTTTTTTACAGGCTCTACCCAGCTTCTTTTTGAATAACTTCTACAAAATAATCAGTAACCATTGTAATGAGAAAAAAAATCGAGTTACTATAAAATAAAAAAAAGTTCAAATTAAAGTTAAAATAAATTCAGTGTAAAAGATAAACTTAATTAATCAATTGAATATAGATTCAAGTTCCTTTAGACTATGAAATGGAAACTCACAACTAAAACAATCCTCAGTGATCAATAATATGAATTGTTACAATTTTTAAAGCAGGTTAACTGCTTCTACAGCTATGCCAAGTTTCTTTGTTGGCACCTTCTCTAAAGTCCTTGATTAACATCCCGACTCTCCCACTCGTCATTTGATTTCTCGCATCTTTCTTCGTGGATATTTTGATTTGGCAGAAATCGCTTTGATATTTAAGACTATGTCTGGGGATTATGTTGCATTCACCCATGGCATTTCAGGCTCTGACGAAGGCGATACGGTAATATCCTAGAGATCTTGCTCACTACTGTGAAGGCGATCAAACTATAATTCACTACCGGGATTGGTAATTTCAAAAGCACAGTTTCCGAAGGAAATGGTTGCTGAACTTTCTCCCTAGGAACAGTCTGTGGTCCTCAGGAATAGCATGTGGGACACTGCCGGTCGACAAGGGTTTTAAGCTCTCCAAAACAGGCTTGGTCAATGTACACATCTGAAAGTGGCCGTGTTATGACTGCTTTGTTGATTTGTTGAAGCTGCACTATTCACAATCGAGCGTTAGGACGCTCACGAATAGTATGCTTATGTGAGAGACACCTAGACAGTTACACACACATAATCTCGCTCAATCGTCTTTCCTAGTATCATACGTCACCGCCTTATTCTTTCTCAGAATCCGTCGATTTCCGCTTTTTTATCGCCATTCTTTAAAATTATTCTGCATCATAACTTGGATTCTTTCACTCAACTTTATTACTCCAGAATTGTTGTGAACTGTATTTTCTCTGGTCAAAGAAAATATTTGACAAATATTTTGTGATTTTCGTTGACCCGTAATACAATCACTGAAGCTTAACTAACCTCTAACCCTGAGGATGGGCTCATCCTCGCCACATCATTTTACTCAAATCACTGACTGTGCCGTTTTTCTGCCTTCGGCGCGAGATTCCTGTTGACGCCGTCAGCCTATCTGCTCTTCAAAACTGTCCTTGATCAAACATCTAAAGTTTCAGAGCTCAATGCATCCCTAAACGCTTTGCTTGCGTGATTCGTTCTCCTTGACAGCCTGTGCCAACACTATCCTAGTCGCTGCTTTGACATCTATTCAGTTGAAAGATCATTCATCTTCGATGCCTCATTTCAACTGAAATAGGATGGTTCTTGCCAATGAAGCGGTTATTCACTGAAGAGGAGGATGGCTCCATCGTTGCTCGGTAGAGTTTTCTCTTGGGAGCATTCTTCCTGGAGAGACCCATTGGATTCTCTTCATTAACCACAGCCGGGCCGTTTCAGACTTCTTTGGGTGCCCCCCTTAGCCATACAAATAAATAGAAAGATAAATGAATAAATATGTTGTTACGATATACCATACCGATAATTTCGTCGTGGGATGCCCACATCAATCCTACCCACTCCAAATCGATCAGGGTTTTGGCATCTCCAGGTTCAATTAGAATTCATTTCATTCTGCCACTTCCATCCACCCCCGTACCTCGCTCTGTCTTTTTTTGAAATGATTCATGGCCCCTTCACTCGAAGCAACGTGATTTCGTATTGTTCCAATCGAGCCATTTGTATCATGTTTTATTGGGCGAATTGTGCCTTTTGAATTGGGGATTCAGTCGTATTTCTGTTTTTTACTCGATCATAAGTAACTCCAATCGAGTACAAATAACTGAAAGCCACGATTCAATCTTGACATTGCTGAATTTCAGAGTGGCTATATCCTCGTTCTCACTTCTACATTCCCATACCGAATGTCAACTCCTACTATCGAAATCCTTATTAATCGAACAGCCCGAGACAACTTCATCGATTTTTGTATAAAGGTTTGTTTTTTTCAATTTTTTAATAATGTAGGCAAGAAAATACTTCGACAGAAAACTCGAGGCGTTGAAAGTTCCGAGTAAACAAAAGGACATGATACCAAGGGTGGTAAACTGCTGGAACATTTCCCGAGCAATAATAAAAAGAGATAAAAAGTGATTCTGATGAAAAACATATCATCTTCGGATTGTTAAGGTGCCAGAGTTAGTAAGTATGGTCTTAACTCTACCGACCATCCGAAGTAGTCGCGCGCGGTGACCTAGTTCTGAAGTGGTGATGACGGTGGGGTCTCTTGACCCATACACAACGTAATGTCAAACGAAGGTTTCTTTCTAGATAGGAGGGACTTTTCATTGAACAGAACTCTGAATAAAAAGCTACATGATTAAGCAATTAACCCCTGAAAATTTCTTTTCGAAGAAATTTGAGTGAAGCCTTCAACTCTCTTTTGAAATGTTCAACTCATACCATAAGCTTTCATATTTCAGTATGGTTACGATGTCGCCACCTTTCCGCCATATCGAGTATTTCAAATTATATGGGTTTTAGTAGCGATTTTATCAATGATGAATATTACTCGCGTTTATTGGAAACATGTCAGACGCTCAAAGCTACATCGAAATATACGAGTAAGTGATATGGAGTTCGAAAACTTAGTCGATTTTAGGATGTGGTTCAACAGCCTGCTTCGCTTTTTAATATTATGGACCAGCAGGGGTGGCTTTTCTTCTTTCCGAATTCCCGTGGCAATCGGCAACAGTTCCGCGGCGACTACCGTATTCTTTCACACAGAATTCATACCTTTCCCTTCATAAGGCGCAACTGCACGCGATCGGGTGCGGCGAGCGCGAGCGATTTTCAGGGAGAAGTACCCATACCCAACCAGCGGCCATTACCAAAGCTTTTATTGCTGAGAGCCACAAAAATTAACCATTATTGAGAGAACAAAACACAGTGTACAATGAATTCATTCAAATAGTAAGCGTAGGAATGACCATTTGGCGCGGCTGTCACCCACCTAGAAAGGATTCAAATACCCAAATGCATTCTTGCTGTGCCAACCAATACGTACTACCACGAGGTGCAATTTAAGCTGGGCTCATCCAAGAGCATAAAAGCTCTGGTTGTAAATTTGTCTTACTTCCTCAAGTCATTACTTCGGTCACCTCTTATTGGCATCCAAACGGTACTACGCTTCCAATTGAAAGTCAAACGCCTTGTTGCATCTCAAAACGAGATTGGCCAACGTCAGAAACTACATCGTCAATTNGTTGTAAATTTGTCTTACTTCCTCAAGTCATTACTTCGGTCACCTCTTATTGACACCAAACGGTACTACGCTTCCAATTGAAAGGTAAACGCCTTGTCGCATCTCAAAACGAGATTGGCCAACGTCAGAAACTACATCGTCAATTCTTTCTATAGGCTAGCAAAAAAGTCGTAAGAATGAAGTTGAATTGGCGTAGGTTGGGTATTGCGAAGTGACGTGCTACAGACGTGTGACTCAGAGATCAAATCACGGATCGATACCCGCCCCGCTTACCACATGTCTATCCCTCTGGGACCGACTAGCAGGTGTCAGCCTCATCTAGTGAAGAAAGCTCGGGCTCAAAATTTGCTGGTCATTGTATAGACCAAATCGCTTTTGAGTAGAGCTCAAATGCCTATTGCACCATGAGGAAAAGACCTGAACACATCAAAAAACCTCATCCAGTCCGCAGATTCTAGGATTACTCATAAACTTTGATAAACTCTAAATATCTTCTTGTCCATGGCAGCCGAAAAAAATAATTTTCAGATCCTACTGACGCTATTTCTCGGAACTGCAGTCATGCTTAATTTTGTATTTAGTATTTATCAGGTTAGTTAGCTTATTTATAGTCGGATTTCTCCCTTTTTTGTCTTTAAAAATTCCTTCCTTCATTTCTTCATGAGACTGCACTCCATTTCTCATTTTCTATTCTATCTGATCTGTGAACATCGTCCGGAAAAATGCTATTTCGCATGCACAGAACGTACCCTACCCCTTTTTCTGCCTTTTAATTTCAAATGATGATTGCTGTTTGAGCGGAGTCAAGGGGAGCTATTACTAGTAAGCGACCAATGATCATCAGAAGCCGTCGCCTAGTCCTTTCAGACGGCTCTGTCGTAGGGAATGGAAGGGGAACTATTCGGTCTGTAAAAGCAATGTGCAACTGTGACACTGAGGCAACAAAGATACAGTGGTTTTTTGGAAGTGTCTGGCGGTCAGCGAATGGCGTATCCACAGCATTATCCCCTGTCTATCGCTGATCATTTTATTCACCCGATCAGTGCGTATCCACTCCTCAGCCTGTCAGCCATGTATTCTCAGAGGCTGACCTTCGCAATCGATAATATCGTTCAATTTCCCAAAGGAAGGGTAATGTGAAAAGTTTATTGCATTTCACTTTACTTGCCTACATCGTCTATTGGGTAGGCGGTATGGCTGAACCCGCTGCGTTTCCCCATCCACGCCCGCCTTCCGCCATCACCTAATCGTGGAGACAAGTCGGATTTTAAGGTCCTGAGGACGTGTGATACAGTAGATGTCCCAACATCTAGCCCGTAAGCCTCGCCCAATGTACCTTTTTGTTGCGTTGTGTATGTGGCGGTTGTTTGGCGGCGTCTGAGTGTATCTTCGGATTACTGTATAACAGGTTCATGGAACTTCAAAATCCGTTTCGTATCGTAAAGATGAGAGAAGGATAGTGCCAACTGGAGCCGCTTTTAATTATGGCTTTGAAGAACGATGTGGAAATCAAATTCCTGATCGATCTCCACTCAAGTGAGCTGAGCCTTAGATTAGGGGTACCCAACCAACTCCAAGAACCTTATCCTTCTGATCTCTATACAACTAATACTAATATGACTTCTTTAGATCTATCAACTGTCGTTGTCATTCACAGCAGTTCATCCATGTGAAGTATTCCTGCCAAGAAATTTCTACAAATGCTTCAATATTCTATTCGGTCTAATACTAGAACTTTATCTCTTCATACAAACCGCCATTACTTTTGAACGAGCAATCGCAACTATCTACGTGCGTTCGTACGAATACACTGAAGCATATCCGGCAATTATTGCCATCATTTCAGCAGTAAGTATTTGATTGCAAAGAGCTCGATGTTAATTGTGTCAGTCGGATGTACGAAGATCTCAATCCAATCACCGCACGCGGCGATTCTTAGTTAGCTGTCTCGCGCATTTTGTCTTTGTTGCTTAGCTGACCATTCTACAAGCCTCCTGTCACCCAAGATAACCACACCTACCACTTCCATTTAGATAAAGTTTCAATCTTGAAGGCATAGTTTGCAACAAAAAATGGTTCAAAAAATTCATTACTGTTGGGGATTTGGGGCCTCCGAAAAAGCTACAGGGGCATTTGAGAAATAGCCTAGACAGGAGCTCATTGAGGGCTTAAAACCGATCGCGACGCCCTCTACCGGACAGTACTCCAGAAGGACGTGCAGAATTACTTCATATAGGCTGAGATCATCTAAAATGGAGCATGATTGTGTATAAGCAGTCAGCTGCTGTATGGTGAACATCCGTTGGTTACAATGACTCACTGTAATCTTGTCCAAACACACCGTTTGTCGTCACGAACTCGTCCCAATTTAAAAATGACCTCTGCGTTCAAAAAGGTCATGTACTCCGAAATTTCTAGCAGATTTCTTTTCTTCACTACCGATGCACTATTCCGCACAAACCCCTTCACCTTTCCATCCAAAAAATATCTATGAAACTGACGGAAACTATGCCTTTAGGCTGAATTCCCACTGTCCGGCGTACAGAATCGAACGAGTATTACCAGGACCGATTTAATAATGATAGTTGCCTTTTCTACTTCTTTTCTCTCAAAATTCCGCCATTACTCATCTAGTAACTATGTCCAAGCCAGCCGCAACGCGAGCGCACGCTTCAGTGACCCGCTAGTTGCCCAGTCGTTCATGTACAGCACAGAACAAAACTGACATACTCGTCAAGTATTGCCCAGTTACTTACGTAGTTACAAGTTTACTATTACAGGTACTGGTCGCAATAGGAACTCAGGTATTCCTCTATTATGGCAAAGAGTTCAACCAACCTCAGCTCAGCGTACTGAATCCACCAGCTGAGGTCTACGATAAGATCAATGGTTTGCTGATATTCAACGAGATAACCTGTGGGATTACTACTGTCTCAATGATTATTCTAGTTATTGTAAATATGAAAAGAGAGAAAAAGTAAGTCTAACTTCTCCTAAACCACCGATTTGCAAATCTTCAATGCGTTCCATATTTAGGGCTATTGGCGATTTGTCACGGCGGTTTCAAACTGAAGAAAACATTGACACCACGAAATTCATTGCCAAAGTGTCCCTGATCCAAATAATCTCCTACACGTCACAATCGCTTGGCAGTCTTATACTGAGGCTTGTAGAGGAATCCTTCGCTGGAGCTCAGGCATTACCGATGAGGACAACGCTGAAGTTGGCCATCTATGTAGGTGAAGCATTCTTGAGTTGACCGAAAAAGTGACGGCGCTGACTGTAAGAAGATCTCCTGTAAGACTGCCCGACTTGCCGAAAAACAAAATGTTGGGGGTGGGCTGAAGTAGATCCCTCACTAGAGTACTGCCACAGCACATATGTCGTATTCAAATGTCCGCGCGCAGTAATTCAAATGTGTCCATCTCAAAATCGCAGTGGGCTGCGCCGCGCGCGATGTGTGCGGCGTGAACTAGTTTCATCGACGATTGGAACGGGGCTTACCCGGGATGAACCTACAGCTGAACCTTTTTGTAGCTGTCCTAAGGATTTTCTGCTTCAACCATTTTCCTCCACCTTTACATGTCTTATCAGCAACTTCCATTCAGACTGAGTTCTGACGCCAAAGCGGAATTCTTAACAAAGATAATCTCTCGAAACAGAACCTACTCTATCAAAGGAACTTCGCTGACACCTAGAATCTGTGATTTTTCAGGGAATGCCATTGTACACTTTGATCATGTCAATTGTGATCGAATACAGTACTCGAACATCAGCCAGATATCGTCAGAATCGACTTCAATCAGCTGTGAGTACAAAGAACGAAGCACAGGCCTACTCCAATTTCCTTTCAAAACAATGGCAAATAGAGGATCAGAACTGAATTGATGCAGTGATCGACTTCAACACTTATTACGGGCATTAAAGAATATCTTGAATAAATATGACAAAATTATTGCTCAGACTTGAACGTGCTCTGGGAAAGTACTATTGGGTACGCAAAAAAACCAAAAACCTTTCTCTGTGTACATACACATTAAAGAAGCAGATTCCCTTGGTGCATGTTGCTCGATTGTGTTATCAACCTCTGGTTACGGTACATGCAGTTTGATGCTGCGCGGGGCCTACGAAGACCTGCCGCGTGCGTGCGCGCCAGCTACGAGCATAAATTCCGTCTCTACTGGAAAATGTGGTGCAGTTCTACGGTACATATGACAATTAAGGAGAGCCTTTATATCAAAAGGCGGAAAAAAATGGTTGAAAGTTGAATGAGCAGGAGTTACAGGTGATATTCCATCTTTGAAGCTTTCATTCCGTTGTGCCACATGCTTATAAGGAGCAACAGATGTGATTCTCGCAGCAGCACTTGACAACTCCAAGTGGCACAATATTATGAGTTACCGATGATGCTAAGGAGGAGCGGCCCCTTGTAGGTGGGAGATCAGAGCCCTTCTAATTGTAAAATGGGTAAGACCACATGAAATAATAGAAGTTTAAGCAATTATCTCTCGACTTCCTTTCAGAACCGTTTCAATACTCCTTTGGCTTATACAACGACATAGAGGAGCTAGTCGATCATAAATTGGTACTTCTATCTTCTCAGAAAGGTCTGGCACCAATCAACCTATCCGACAGGGATAGAAAAGTCTGGACTAGCCCAGGTCCACTCGGCACCCTATCGATCCACTTCTTGATCTCCAAAATCCATTTAGAATGATGGCGGTCCAGTGCATATTTTTCCTGAATAATGGCTGTACCGTAGAAATGGAATCTCCAGAGGGTTGGAAGTTAATTCGCCCTCAATGGGTTTCTTATTAAGCCGGGATCTGACCTCCTCGCCATGTTAGTGACAAACCACTTCGTGCTATCCCGCTTTCGCTATTACTATGAGCGTTTTGTTAACAAAAGAGTTAATGACTTTGAAGGACAACTTAAAGGTGTTCTCCAACGGAAGAAATGGAGCTCCCGTTGGAAAACGGGGAAGTTAGTAGGAATCAGAATTAAAATGGAGAAGAAACCGTCACAAAGGCCAAGGATCAAATTAGAAGTGAGGCCTAGCTCATATGCAAATTATGCTAAACTCAAGAATTGTAGAAACTCACATCAAGTAGACGTTGCGACAGTGCCTTGCATCAGTTTCAAGAATTTTCATTCCCTTCCTATCCGGGCAGATTATTGATTTTTTATGTATACGGTCACACGAAAAGTCTGCATTTGCACAGAACAAAGCAGCCTGTAAGCGTTAATACAAGCCTGAAACAAAAACTTCAAGGCCCAAAAGACGGTGAAAATGTAGTTGGTGGGGGCCACGCGGCGGCGCGGCACTCTTTTTCGTCTGGCGCTCTCTCCAGCGAGATAGTAGTGGGCCTGAGTCTGGGAAGGAATGGTGATGTTGTACTGATGTGTATCGTGATTTGGAACAAACTAACTCTTGGCACATGTTGATATGCTTGCCTATTACGAATACGCTCCTAAACACCATTACGAGCTCGACTACTCTTCCTTATCAACTATCTCGCTGGAGAGAGCGCCAGACGGCAAAGTGAGGCGCCGCCGCGTGGCCCCCACCAACTATGTACATTTTCACCCGAAAGACCATACTCATGACGATGCAGAACGTATGAAGAACGTCCAACGTGAAGGACGGCACGGCGGTGCTAAGTGGGTTGGGGAGACCACGCGGCGCGGCACCCTGCGCCCTCTCCAGCGAGTAGTAGACAAGGAAGGGTAGGCGAGCCCGTAATGGTGTTCAGGGATGTTTCATAG